TTTTTTTTTTTTTGGTAGAGACAAGGTCTCACTATGTTGCCTAGGCTGGTCTTGAACTCCTGGGCTCCAGCAATCCTTTGGCTTTGTCTTCACAAAGTGCTGAGATTATAGGTGTGAGCCACTGTGTCCAGTCTAATTCACCTATTGAAGGACATCTTGGTTGCTTTCAAGTTTCAACAATTACGAATAAAGTTGCTAAAAACATTTATGTGTGGGTTTTTCTGTGAAAATAAGTTTTCCATACATTTTACCAAGTAATTCAGTTGCTAGACAGTAAGAGTGCTTACCCTGTGTCAAGAACTGCCCAATTGTTTTCTAAAGATAGTCTATATTTTTATTGTTAATTTGAGGAGTTATTTATACATTTACGTATTTTGGTACATACGTTCTATTTATATATTCTAAAATATTTTATTTTAGATATTCTAGGTATGAGTCCTTTATGTGCATATGTGTTTATATACATATTCAGTAGCTTGCCAATTCATTTTCTTAATGGTGTCTTTTGATGTGCAAACAATTTTTCATTTTTATGAAATCCGATTTATAATTTTTAATAGACTCCACAGTTTTGACTTTTATGTTAGGTCTATGATCCATCTCAAATTAATGTTTGTATACGAAATGAGATGAGATTTGAGGTTCATTTTTTTCCCATAGGCGGTATAATTGTTCCATAAGTAATAAATCAATAACATCAATAGAAACTTGCACTCTTAATCCCAATATTTTTGTTTCTGAAAACTATTCTTCTCTAGAGCTAATGAGAATACCTTGGAAAAATGACTGATCCTAGATCTGGGACAAGAAAAGTACAAGATGAGCCTGGAACAACATATTGTCCCAGAAAGAAAGTGTTCAAAGAATGAAGTGATTATGACAAGAATACACAGAATTTAGCTTAAAAGGATTTCAACTGAGCAAATCTGGGAAATTTGAGGACTGACATGAATAATGATAGTAATGGGTTACAATTCATTGAATACAATATGAATCCAGAGGTCTATACTGACAAAAATAAATACATGGATAAAAGATGATGGAAAACATTCCTTTAGAGTAAAATATAAACTAATATTAACTAGTTCTTAATAGTTACAAAATAATTATTTTTACCTTGGGGAGAAATCTAACAGAAACCATCTTAACCAAGTAATTACTGTTAAAATCAGCATTGATGGATCAAATTAACAATGTTTGCCTTCTGATTAGATTCACTGAAAAATATAAAACAACCAGGAACAATTCTATGGCATTCCTATTGAAAATGCATAATATGAACCTAATAATGGAGAAATACCAGAAATTAAGGAACATTTTCAAAGTTACTAGTATGCACTTTTCAAAACTATCAAGGTTATGGCAAGAAAAGACTGAAGAACAATTCCAGACTGAAAAGATGAAAGACACATGACAACTTAATGCAATACATGCCCCAGGATTGGATCTCTAATCTAAAAACTTCATCTGGGCACAATTAGACAAAATCTTAATGGAATCAATGGATTAATTAGTAGCATTACATCAATTTTAACCTCCTTAATTTTGATAGACTTAGGTTTGGGAGAACAGAGTCCTTGTTTTTAGCAAATGCCCACAGAAATAATAAGTGAAAATGAGCTTTTATGTTTGCAACTCTCAAATACTTCAGAAAAAAATAATGCAAACACATACAACACTCACACACGCAAATACATAAATATTGACACACAGAGAACGTTAAGCCACATATGATAAAATGATAGCAAATGGTTCACTTGGGGGAAAAATATGTAGACATTTAATTTACATAACTGTTACAAGTTTTTTTAAGCTTGAATTTTTTTCAAAACAAAGTTTGAAATAATAGGCATTAAGAACTGATATGTGAAAATCTCACTGTTATGTTCAATTTTTTTGAGACACTCCAATTCTGGGAGGGAGCATTTCTACTCACATTTTACAAATAAAGAAAAAAATGAATTGGGATTCGGAGATGCTCCAATCTTGTCTATGATAGAAAGCATCATATGTAGAGTCTAGATCAGGTATTCTCACCCCCAGTTCAGTGCTTTTTTTTTTTTTTTTTCGTTTCACAATTCTATTCTGCCTTTGATGATGTCTTTTGTTTTTCTTGTGCAACTTGCTCAAGCATTAGGGATTACTCCAGTTGGCCTTGGGTCTGTGCTCTTGCCAAATGATGGGGTCTGAGTCACCCTTGGGGCATTCTGAGCCAGAGTTTTTCGATAACGTTTATAAGAGCCTGAGGCAAGTAATTCCTGCGACTTGTCTGTCTCCAGCATCTTCACACAGGTGTAAAGAAACACTTAAGGATCACTTGGGAGTAGGACAGGAAATGAGGAAAGAGCATGCATCCCTGGACAGGGTGAATGGAGAAGGAAAGATCGACAGACCTTAGCACTGGTGAGAGAGCCTCACAGGCACCTGAAAGCTGGTTATCATGAACATTAGGATACTATATATTCTGTCTTCTGATACTATGCACTCCTTCTCAACTGCTTCCTCTGTGAGTCGGTGCTACCTATGTCCATTTCCCAAAATCATTGCTGAGCTCTGGGCACCATTCTAGCAGGGGCACTTCTTTTCTTCAGGATCTCAGAGCTCCTTCAGAGAAAATACTAGTGGTTGTCTTGTCTGGTTTCCTTCCTGAATAGCTCTGCCATGGTGTTGGAGAAGAAAATTAGGGCAGCATCTGCCTAATCATCTCTGGGTCCCCACCAGATCTATCTGGACCACTGAACTCACAGGATCTCAGCACATATTAATCATTCAGTGCAAAGGCATGTGATTCAGTCAGAGAGGCTGATGTGACAGTATGATACCACTAACCTACTACTCCCTAGGTTTAGGCAAGTCTTTAACTTCTTGATCAGGCTACAAAGCGCCCATTCCCATGCATGGTCTTTGCGCATACATCAATAAGAAAATTCGGGTCAATCACATGGCTCAGGAGTAGAACCCTGGACACTTCTTCCTGTATTAGGGCCTGGACGTGAAAGGTTGAACTGGACACTAACTCTAATCCAGACAGGTCTACCATCTACCCTGAGCTATGAATGGGTATAATGGCCAGAGACCTACCTCTGACATTTCTCAATCCTCCACTTCTTTCCATTCACTAAACATTTATGGAGAAGCTAGTAAACACTGCCAAATGCCAAAGATAAAAGCATAAGTGACAACGGATCACTGTCTGCTCTCAAGAATGTTATCTTCTAGTGGAGGAGTGTATATCACAAGAGAAACTTCCTATCTTGTTTTAAAACTGCCCACCTTTTCATCAATGTAATTCTTCTCCTCTCCTTCCTTGGCCCTTCATCCTGTTTTTCTCCTTTCTCCCAGCCTCCCACTTCCATGATGGTCATTCAATTGTGTTGTAAAGGACAGAATTGAATTTCTTTAAGAATCTACTCAGTCTTTTTTATTATGTCAGCCATCATTTCACAACGAAGATTGATTCATGACCAGAGATCAAACATATTGGACAATTTGAAGAATATTTTTGGACACTTTGTTAAGCCCCTACTTTTCATTTTTATCTCAGCATCTGCATGCTGAGATTCTTTCATTCACTAAACAATTATGGAGCCCCTATTGTGGGCCAGGCACTTTTTTTCTAGACATTAAGGATAGAGCGGCTAGCAAAGCAAAGTTTTTCTCTGCTTGGACTCACATTCTAAAGTGGAAGCAGATGTTATAGGTGCTATATGATAGGGTAGCCTGTAGCATGATATATGATAGGGTATATGATGCTATACCAAGGTGCTATATGATAGGGTAGCCTGTAGTATGATAAATGCTATGTAGAGAAATGAAGTAGGGTAAGGGGTTAGAGACTACTGACAGACAATGGGGTGCTCTGACAGACTCGGTCGTCAGAGAAGTCTCTGAAAGCACGGGGAAGAGTCAGGTAGCTAACTAGGGAAAGAGCCTTGCAAGGCAAAGGAAATAGGACGTGCAATGGTCATGAAGCCAGAACCACTTCCTGTGTGTGAGAATAAGCAATGAGGACAGTGTGATTAGAGCAGAAAATGGGAAGAGGCGCAAGAGAGAAGGCAGGGACTTGATGGCCATGGGTGAGACTTTGTTCTTTATTCTGAGGGGAAACTGTTGGAGGGCTTTGAGCAGGGGAATGAAGGGATCTAACTTTTGTTCTAAAGGATTCCTGTGGCTACTCTGTGGAGAATACACTATAGGAAGAGAAGAGTAAAGTGCAGCAGTCTGGTGCAGCAGTCTGGGTGAGAAAGAAAGGTGCAGTAGTCTGGGTGAGAAAGAAAGGCTGGGATGAAGGTGGTAATGGTAGAAGTGACAAGACACAATTGAATTGAGAATACATTTTAAAAACAGAGCCAACAGTTTATGTTGGCCAATGTGACTAATATCAGGACATGAAACAGGGTGTCCAAGACAGGCAGGATGCTTACAATTGGTTAACAGACGTTGACTTTGCAGAATTTTTTATATCTCACTATTTAGTTTTTTAATTTTTATTTTAGAGGTATAGGATATTTCCCACCTAAAGAAAAGTCCCGGTTTAAATATTGCTTTTTCATGAAAGGATCCCTGGAGGGTCTTCATGACTGAAAGGATGGGTGACTCCCGCAGTGCAGTCAGCAGTGTCAATACTTCCCGGCATGAGATTTAAATAAGGAAGGAAATGTGTTACTAAAACATGACACCAAGTGAATCTACCAGCCACGGACTCACAAAGTAACAACGAATTATGCGAGTCTGCTGAGGAGCTCACAGGTCCTCTGTTAATGCAGGCTCCACATCCAGGCCTTGGAAGCGGTTCCGTTTTCATCCGCTAGTTAGGAAGCTACCATACGCCTGCCCGCTGCTCAGCGACCCAGCGCGCTCCTTTCCTAACCACGCCCTATACTTGCCCGCCCCACCCTGGCCACGCCCCCACGATGCCCAGGCCCCTAGCCTGGCCACGCCCCTCCTGCGCCGCGCCGCGCCGGCGCGCCGGCCACTCGAATAGCCTGGTGGGCGGATCTTGCGTAGCCTCCCGGACACCGGCGCGCACCGACCCTCTTCCCTGGCTACCGAGCTAGTCTGCGGACACGCACTTCCTGCGAGGCCTCACTGCGCACCTTGGAGGAGCCCAGCCGAACCGAGCCGAGCTTTGCCTTCCAAGCCGTTCGCCATGGTAGACGAGCTGGTGCTGCTGCTGCGCGCTCTCCTGGTGCGGCACCGCGTCCTGAGCATCGAGAACGGCCGGCTCATGGAACAGCTGCGGCTGCTGGTGTGTGAGAGAGCCAGCCTGCTGCGCCAGGTACGTCCGCCGAACTGCCCGGTGCCTTTCCCCGAAACATTTAACGGTGAAAGCGCCCGGCTCCCCGAGTTTGTCGTGCAGACGGCGTCTTACATGCTAGTGAATGAGAACCGATTCTGCAACGACGCCATGAAGGTGGCATTCCTAATCAGCCTCCTCACTGGGGACGCCCAGGAGTGGGTGTTGTCCTACCTCGAGACGGATAGCCCCATCCTTCTTGATTACCGGGCCTTCCTTGATGAGATGAAACGGTGCTTTGGCTGGGAGGAAAGTGATGACGACGACGACGACGACGACGATGACTACTACGACGACGGCGACGACGGCGACTACGGCGAAGACGGCGACTACGGCGACGACGGCGACTACGGCGACGACGGCGAATACAGCGACTACGAAGTGATTGAATACTAGGCCCAAGCCCCTGTGGCCTACAGGGGAGGGCCCGGCACATTGCCACCCCCTCCTCCCCACCCCTTGCTTCCCACCTAACTTGGAGCTGCTGCTCTCCCCTTCGCCCTCTGGGTCCCTTCCCTACCCCTGCCCTTCTATTCTCTCTCTCATCTTCCCCGTAGTGCTTGTCTTTGTTCCAGGATTAGGGCTCCAGTTACCTGATGCTGAGGCAGGGCCTTGCTTGGAAGTGTTTGGAAGCCTTCAGAAGCGTCATTCACTTTGCCAACTCCAGGACCCTTCGCTTGCTAATCTGAACTGTGTCTTGAGCCCCAGCTGTTGGCTAGGTCCCTGTTACAAACTGGTGAGACCACTCACAGCCCTGCTGCTACCATCTGCCTGAATGTCAGGCCTACATTTTACCTGGAGACGTAATCTGCTGCTTGGCCACTATTCACCACTCCCACTGATAGACCACTCCTGTTGGCAATAAGAACGAACTTGGAAGATGCTCCAGCTAGCTGCACCTCTTCAGACATTGATTTGGACAGCTCACCGACCCCTGAAGGGGTCAGTCTTTCATCCTGGTTAGTTTTTTGTGTACTCCCAGTGTTCTCCCTACCCCACCAGATTGCTGCAGGAGCCTGGTGTGCCTGGTAGCCAAATTGTTGACATTTCGTTTCTCCTATGTACCAGTTTTACACAGCTGTCACTTTTCTTTCAAAATTGCAGCAGTTCCACAAATGTGTGCATTTGGATAAGTAATATACAGCCTAGCCCCTCAGTACTACCTGGAGAAAGCATTGGCATTCTGTTCAATAAATATCAAGCACTACAAAAAAATAAATTATTGTCTTTTGATGGTTAAGTGCTGTCATTGGTCTCTATCACTCTCACTCTGATTCCCATCATTCCCATTGATATCAGGGAACCTGTCTGTTTCAGTATTCCTTATTGTCATCTCTAGGGTACAGAGGACAGTCACCTCAGGGCTTTATAAGGATTCTGGTGCTCTCCTCTCCAGAGCATTTCTTAAAGCCCTGAAAAGGAGGTGCCCTCTGGGGCCTCCAGGTTAGCATGGGTAAGGGGTTGCTGAGCACATGACCCATGATACCAAGCTGGGACACTTTTGAGAATGGAATGGGGCACTATTTATAATTAAACTGAGACAACAGTCATAAACTTCACCACATATATAATGTTCCTGTTTCCCTGAGCTTTTGGATTCCTTAACGCTGTGCCAGTGAGGTTCTGCCCCTTAATCCTTTTTGCCTGCAAGCAGCTTTTGAGTTCAGACTCCAGTTAACCGACATAGTACATTGTTTCAATGCTACTTGCAGGTGCTTGAGGTAACAAATCCTGGTTCCTGAGTAAGTGCACCTATAAAGGTATAGCCTGATCTTAACATTTTATCCCCCTTGGGCAGATGTTTTCACCGGTACATGTACCCCAGATTCCTACCTATGGAAATTAGCAAGATGTTTGGCTATCTCCTAAATCAGACCTTGTACTGCTATCTGGTCAATGCTGAGATCTTTTTGGGCATGGAGGGCTCAGAGGCAGTGAAAAGGTGGGGATGGGTGCTGAGAAGAATCTGTTTAGCTTTGTGGGTCCATTGCCCAAGTTAAGTCATTGAAATGTTTAATGCAGAAAAGCTTGGTTGGGTTATTTATGGAGACTGCTTCTGGCAGCCTGGGAGGTTCAGGAGAGTTTGAGGGTTTCAGAGTTCTCATTTATGTCTGCCCAAATGTCCTTATTGTATCACATGTGGAGCCAGCCTGACCCTAAAACTTTAATTTAGAGAATACATTTCCTTACTGTTTAAAGCCTTTTGAGGAAGGATAATATTTTATTTGTACTGGTACACCTTACAGTGTGAATTAAATGAGATACTGGTCATCATATTAATCATCTTTCAAATGTGGATTAAATGAGACCATACCCACGAGGCATTTAGAACTGTCCCTGTTGCATGGTAAGCACTCAGTGAACGTGGGCAGTTACTCCGAGACCTAGGAACCAAAGTCTTAGAAGGCAGATTTGTGGCTCTGAGCTTGGCTTTAATAGGAATATGTCAAGGACAGGGAGAAGCATAGTAGGTTCATGGAGAGTGGAAATGAGAGCACGACAAGACCCCGTTTACTCTGTGGAGTTTGACATAAAGCCAGAAACAAATGCATTTTACCTGTTAAACAGGCAAGATTTAGGACAGGGGTTATTTCCCGTACCTTTTTCGGTTGTTTCTGGAGGGTAGTGACAGGATGGGTATGACATAACAAAGAAGACTGAGGCCTGAGTGGAAAGGAGATCTGGAGCTCTTTAGGGAGCTGCTCCCTCCAAGTGTGAGTCATGGTGACTCCAGGTTATTTAGGATTTATTTATCATTTTTTCCAGTCTCCTTGGAAAACATACAAAGACCCTTGAAAGAGTGAGAAATTGTGTTTGAGACATAGTATGTATGTATAAGCCCAGATAGTCACAGTTTCTTCCTAAGTACAAAGGCCGTAAACTGGGGACGGATGTGAAAAAGTAGTGGGCAACAGCTAATAGGCAGGTAAAAAACTCAGGAGACCAAAAATATGTAACTTACTACAGACTGATCATGTCCCAGTTATGCTAAGAGGAGCCAAGATACGTTGTTGAATAAAATGTGATCTTTGCCTTCATAGTGTTTCCAGTCTGTTGCTTTTAGGGTGCCTTGGGCCAGAACTGCAATGATAACTAGTTACAGGGAAAGACCAGTAAAAGAATCTGGACTATGATTAGATCTGGGAGTGAGTGACCTCTCTGGAGTCTAAGTTGAGGACATATGAGTAGATGCTCTACTGGGGGTGGAGGGAGAGGGAAGGGTTTTCTGGTCAGGGAGGATGCCATGCAAAGGCAACATCTGAGTCACATCTGGGAGAACTTGGTCAAGGGGCTTTGGTGATCTGAAATGTATATTTCCTGAGTATCTATGCATGTGCACATGAGCTTGCTGTGGACTATGTATGTGTTAGGTGGCATCCTTCATAATTCTTGGAAGAACAGGTTATACTCTGAGCTGCAGAGAAAATATGAGACTCTGGTCACCTTGGGGGCAGATTCTGCAATACAGTGCAGATAATGACAAAGGCCGTACCACTCAGAAAGGAATTCGTGATAATAGCATGGGACATTGCAAAAGAGAAGAAAGAAGTAAATAAGCATACCTAAAGTTAAAAGTATCACTTAAAAATAAGTAGAAATGCTGAAATAAATATGAACTTCAGACTCCTGAATTCTCATCTTGGGCATAATAGACTTGAAATGGTCACTGACATTATGCTATCAATTAAATGAAATTAATCATATTAAAGGTCATAATCATATTATGTCTAGCAATATATCTTTGGAATTTTCATTTGATAGCCAAGCACTGCCGCCCATTCTGTGTTGCTGTCTTTTGCAGAATGGTATATAGGGAGAGATACATTATGCACATTATATACTTAATTATTTTATGCTTTTAAAACATGGGGAAAACTTCAGTCATTTGAAGGTAGGCAGACTAAAGGTAAGTCTTGTTGAAATTAGCAGAATATTTTCATTTAAAAATGTGCTTTAAAATGTGTTTCTATGTTCTTAAAGCAATTAAAAGAAAGCTAATAAAGTGATGTCAATTCAAGTTCCTGAGAATGTTTTCTTCAATGGTTATTGTGGGATAATTGTGTGAAGAATGCATATTGGTTGCTTTGAAATATGGATTTTGCTAAACTAGTGTTAAAATCATCTGGTAACAGTTTTCACTACAGAGTAGGTCAAGTATATTCCCTACAGTCTTAACCCACTTAGTTCTAAAGGTAGAAACAGTGGACAATTACCTGTTTGGTGTCCTTTGACAGTCCCTACCTCCCTTAATGAAAATCTAATCACCTACCTTGCATTTTTTCTGAACTGCCTGTTAGAATTTGTTGGGTTCTCTTCAAATGTTCTGCTGTCCAGATAATTTTTTTCACCCTGGGATAGGTAATAGCTTGCTTGAAGGAATTATGAACAGAAAAGCAAGACTTGTTAATGAAGCAGATGCGCTCCCCTGGATTATTTGGGAGGAGGGCGTGAGAGGTGTTGCAAAGAATGTACAGTATTCAGTTATATAAACATTTCTGTTCCTCCTCTACTCCCCTCATATCTGATTTATGGTAGCACATTTATTTTTCTTATTTTTCTATATGAAACAGTCCCATATCTCCTCTCCTCTCCCTGAATGACCAATGATTTCATTGGCAAGATTGCAATAATAAAATTCTTGTATTTTTGCCAAAGTCCCTATGTAGTCAGTTTAATTGAATTGACTGGTCAGCTCAGAATTATCCAGTCAGCTTAAGAGGCAAAGCTGTGGCATGTGCTGTTTATATGCATCTTTTATTAATGCTTTAGTTTTAAAACAAGTGATATTAGTAAAAGAAAGCAAAGAGAGTTATATTTCAGTGGTGATGGAAGTGATATTCCTAATTTTTCTGTTTTCTGGACATTTCTAAATTATTCCAATGCTATTTATGACTTTTAGAAACTGTTCATTTGAATGTATGCAATAAAATTTTTAACATATAAAAGGTAGAGAGAATAGTACAATGAACCCCCATAGATTCATCTCCTGGATTAAAAAATTATCAGCATTTTTGCTTCATTTAACCCCTTACTGTCTTATAATTTTTATGGAATATTTTAAAATAAATTACAGATGTAACATTAATTCACTCTTCAGTACTTCATGTTTCTCTAACAGATAAGATCTCAAAAAATAATCCATATTGTTATCCCACAAACCTACTAAAATTATCGACACCTCCTTAATATTTAATACGCAATCCATTTTCAAATGTCTCCAGTGTCTTCAAAATGTCTTTTTAAATGTTTACTTGAATTAGTTTCCTAAGGATGTCAACACACTGCATATGGTATATATATATCTTAACTTTTTAATTGATAACAGTTCCTCCCATCTTTTTTCCCCTAAAATCTTTTTGTTGAGAAACTGGCCATTTGCCTCTTCAATTGCCTATATTCTGGATCGATTTTATTGTTTTCATGTCCTTGCCCAATTTTCTTTTGGGTTGTTAATATATATTTACCAATTTTGGGAAGCTCTTTATTTATTAAGGATCAGTGGTATATGTTGTAGATATTTATGCCCAGTTTGCCATTTGTCTTTTTAATTTCTTTATGATGTTTCTGGCTGTTGAGTATATGTTTAGTTTAGTATATTTCCATTTTCCCATACTCTCCTACCATCTCTACACTCCCTAATTTAATTGCATATATTATTTCTCTTAGTGTTTATAACTTTAAATAGTATACTACCTCTATTATTTTTCAGATATGAATGATATATTTTGGCTTTCAGCCATGAAAGATGAAGAACTCAACCTATACACTAATCCTCTTTTCCTATCAACTTTGCAAGTGATACCGTTTCTATGTTAACATTGCTAACATTTACATGTTTTCCAGAGACCATAATCTTTGCATTTTTGATATATCAGATAAATGGATTAAATATTTACTATTATTCCAATTTCTATAATTTATATATTCATATTAGCTAGCTTTATTCTTTTTTGTTATTTCTAGTTGTTTCTTAATAAACAAACAAACAGAAATCCTGGGGATTATATAATCTGAATTTTTTGAAGGTGAATGAGATTTTCGTTATGCATAAAGTTTGTGGGTCCTACTTTCTTTGCTTTCATTTCTCTCACTTCTTTTAGCATTGAACATTATTTTGTAGATGTCTGAGATAACTCTAATATTTCCCACTCATAATTTGATCGTCTTACTTAATTCCCAGAGAATTGTTCTTTATGTTTCATTCAGCTATATCTCAGTGTTATTCACCCTTAGTCATTT